AAATGTCATCACCACTGAGCTCCTTGCATACAAGACTGTGACTGATCCTATTTTGCATGTAAAACATTTGGTTTAGACTACGGATCAGCTGTCTAGTTGTGGAAGCAATTGATGCTCAAAAGATAAGTGGAGCTGCGAATCTAGCAGTCAGACCAAACGCATCTCCAGGTGCAGTTGAAGCTTCTGAGGAGAGCAAGTACTGTTGCTCAGTTCGATGGTAGCTGTTGTGTGTCGCGGCAGTATCATAGGTTCTTTGCGGCAGCAGCAATATTGGCGAAGATGTTGTGATGTTAGGTGCAGGAGGTGTACGAAGGTGTGTCGAGGACGCCTTTCTAAAAAAGATGTGCAGTGTAATACCTTGTTCATGTGTCCACTTGATGTCAGGCATCTTCTTTAAGATTGGTCAGGTCCTTGTACGCAAGGGATGGATTTTGAGTCAGGCTCAGACTTATTCTATTCGCGCTTTCTAAAATAAATGTTTACGGTTAAACTTAATACCTAGTTCTACGCGTGGAAGCTCCTAGTACGCTACACAATACAGTGTCAAATTTCGTATTTCATGAAAGGAGCTGTCTGAAATTACAAGTTTAAATCTTCAAATATATATATTACTTAATTTGAAGACTACGTTATATACGAATGCCACTGCCAAAAACTATTATTAGGCTCAGCGCGTATTATATATCTATAGTAAAATGTATGGAAACTTCTGCACTTTATATCTAATTTATAAAATTGAGATTAGTTTTGCACTCCGGCAGAGCCAACGACCTTTAATTCATGCAAGATTATTAGTTTTATAAATAAAAATACGTTTAGGCATCGGCGTTGTACTCGTTGTAAAATAAAAAAAGCAATACAAAACTCTTTAAGTACATTGAATTTGTGTAGAAGCCAGTACAATATTTCACTAATGCTTTTCTAGCCAGGTTCAATGCTTTCAAGGTCATCCAGTTTATAACTCATTGGGTCACAGCTCGTTTGCGTGATAATGTCAATTCCATATCCGACACGTAACTTATTTCTTTTGTTACATAATGTATAGTTCTTTATATTTGCCAGTTCAAATATTTTGCGTTTTAGTAAATCGCGCTAACAACCGTTCTACTCTTCATACGCTTCATGCTTGTAATACTTGATTTTTTGGGTTTTAGCTGGTAATGAAAAGGGGTCCATGTACCCAAACTTGCCTTCGGCTCCACCTGAAAGTCCCCCTCCTTACACAATTATGCCAGAACGGGATGAAGTGGAAGAGGAGCTTCGCAAGGCACTAGCGTTCTTGATTCATCTTAATAAACATATTGCAGATTGAGGACGAAATTGCCACTTTGAAGGCCGTGCTTGCCTCTAAGCAGGAACGGGCTGCTCAGTTGAAGCGCCAGCTTGGAATGTATGGATTCGATGTGGCAAAGGATGATATGAAAAGAGCTGCACATTCTATTGCCAATTCAAAACCGTAAGTTATATATGAAATTTTAACTCTTAATTGCACTTTTGAGAGCTCATTGGCGAGGTTTTGTGAAGACAAGATCGATTCTCCTTATGTAACTGTTTGCCAACTTCAGTCTTTTACTATAGCTCTAAATAAAAATGCTTAGTGAGGAAACAGAGCTTAAAACGTTCGGTGCATTCATCACTTGCGTGAATCCATGAAATTGCAAGGCAGAATTATGACCTCTCATTTTAAGTTGCGTCACATGACTGTTTCTGCCAATTGGGTTAAATAAACTCGGCTGCACAGTTTGAAATTTATTACCCTAAAATGAAGCTGCCTACGCGTTATGCGTGGCACTTCTGTAGCATACTGGATGTGAGCAAGCACAAAATTGATAGGGGTATTGTATTCTTTGCATTCGTGATTCTTGGCGATGATATTCACGAGCTATGATTTTTGTAACTCCTGTAGTTTGAATTTTGACTGGTAGATTATTTTTACATCCAATGTTTACGCCTTTTAACCGCGACTGCCCGTTGGGTGAAACTTGATTTCATGAGTGCTCCAAATCTTTTCTCAACGATTTCAGTTACACCACCGTTAAAGGCGCCGTTACTAAGCAGTGGAATAATGTGACGTAAGTTAATTTCACTGTATTGCTATCTTCTGGTACTGAAGCCGATTCAATACGCCTTTAAATAAAAACTTTCTTGCTAGTCATTACCTTCTGTTTGGATGTGGTTCCATTTCAGAGGTTAAAGGTGTCCTTAACTTGTGCGGCGCTCTGTACCAAGCAATATTGGCACAAATAAAATGTAGGCATAACTTTTAGAGCAAACTCCAGATAATAAGTAACCTTCTATGCCCTTTTCTTTTCGACACGAGAGCCCAGTCACAATTTCCACTTTGCTTTTTCCCGACAGGAATACCAGCGCATATAAGAGTGTAAACAACAGCGTCTCCTCCTTCTTCAAATCGGTGAAAGTGAGTATTTGTCTCATCATCCTCCCTCCCTTTGTCGATTTTTACCATTTAATTTTGTCTCTTCCAAAAGTAGGAGTAACCTCGCGACTCCTTCCGCTCATTTCTCTCTCCCCTACTCCCCCTTCTATCCCCAGTTCTTGCCTCATCTCCTCAGATTTAACTCTTGTTTCTGCTGATGTGCTTTACTTTATGTTGAGGTGTCTGTTTACTATATAATTACAGCTTCTTAGTCCTCTCCTGATTTGCCCCTTTTGGCTTCTTCATTCGGTGTTGTTTCAAGCCATTGGTTCATTGTTTTCATTCGAAGAGGAATAATAATTATTACTACCATTTGCTAAAATGGAGAGAAAGGCACTCCTCCTGACTAGATACTTTTTTGGGCGTTTCAACGGCTACTCCCCCCACTACGCAATATGATCTACTCCTTCCCTCTCCCCCATTTCCCGCGCTTTGCTATTCTCTCTCCTTTCCCAGATCCCCATTCGTCATTAGTCTGCTTTTGGAGTGTCTATCAAGCGTAGACGTTGCTTGAAGTGGAGCAAATTGGTCGTTGAAGCTTTATCTTGTTCCTACCTTGAGACCAAGGCTTGCCTAGAGAACGGTTGGTTTACTAGCAGAGGTGCAAGGCATCAATGGGACTCATAGAGTAATAGAGAAGTGCAAAGATATAAAATTTGCCTGCAAATTCATCCACTACTAGAAATACATTCAGTGGTGACCGAAACGATTGCAATATGTGCCTCCAAAGGTCTGTGAATTGGTCTGCTGATGCTGTACTCTTTCTCACCACATGCTGGTAGCACATGTGTGTAAGCACATGCACAAGGCATTCGGATTTCAGCATCACATTGCGTTGTGATGGAGATCATGTGCACGCTGCCAACCAGTGGTGCGGGGTCATTGGCACAGCCCTCTTTTACGTTGACTGACTTCTAACTGTAGGCTTACGAGAAGCGGTAAGGTGCACTCTCGGATCCACTTGGTCGCTCTCTCTCCATCATGTCCCAAGGCATTACAACAAATCTGACTCAATTCTGCTCTCCATTCACACGCAATGTGGGCATGAAAGCCATTGTCGATGTCTGTGCTGGGCTCCCTTTGACACACCAAACATCGCATTGTGCACTTGGCTTGGTGTGTCAGGGTTTGGATAACTGGGTGGAAAATGTGTCAATTCTCTGTCTCTCTCTAGCAATAACCGGTGTTTTTGTGTTTTATCATTTTTCCTCTGACTTCTTCCTCGATCCCATCCACCTGTCTATCCTTAGAGCTAAGAATCTATTCAACTGTCACTGACCCATCCGTCCACAAGACCATCACTTTTTTTCGCATTCGATCTTTCGTGCACTACAAAACTTAGTTTTTTACTCAGTTGTTGCATCCAATCCCTCCATCCCTCCATCCATCCATCCATCCTGTGTCCGCTCTTTCACTCATCTAGGAACACCGCAGAAGCCCATTGAATGATGATGGATTGGCGAATTAAATGAGTCAAAGGTGGATGGATGGAGAAGTTTGGCGCTTATTGAGGGGATGCGTGAATGGTCTGGTGGACAGTTGAGTCGGAGGCGTCGTAGCGAATGGAGAGTTCAGCAGCCAAGGAGTGCATTGCTGTCAAAATGATTTTGTGCATGATGGGTGGTTTGTTGAACAGGCCAAAGTGGAGGTCGGTTGACCAGCTACTAATTTCATCCATCTTACGTTTTCTCGATGATTTCTATTTTCCAGCCTTCAATTTGTCCATATCAGCTAACAAATTATCAACTTGGAAATGGAGATGTACGTTTCCATGTTGTCTTCCTCTTGGTGTTGTCTCACACCCTTTTGTCCTCGTCCCTCCCTCCCTTGTGTCCCCGCTTCGGTTAACGCCTAAACTTGTCCCCCTTTTGCAGTCGTCTTTTACTGGAGATTCGAACTCTTCCACACCTGGATCGACGAAGCAGACACCGTCTCGAGCACGACCACCACCACCACCACCACCGCCAACACAATCACCACCATCATCGTCAAAGGACCAATTCAAAGGACTTATTTGAAGTGAAATAGAGTGGTGGAGGGCTGCTTGGCCAAATGACATTGTGATATTCGTTGAGTGTGCTGTGTGGTGCTTGAGTTCGTACGTCTGTCTACTTTTCTTATCCGCGAAGTAAACCGTCTCCTCCCAATCCATTTAGATGAGTTGATAGGTGATGAAAATTACTCACTATGTCAAGCTTTGTGTAAAGGATGTTGGGTCTGACGTCGCCGAAGCACCGTGACAATTCAAAATTCTTGCTCCTTTGTTAGCACGCTGTGTTGAGGAGAAAAGACACTGACTGGGAGGTGGTTTGTGGCGTGAGCCTGTTTAGCCAAAGGCATTCCACTGGACAAGATGTGCATAAGCGGGTATCTCCGACGTCACTTCTTACTATTGGTGTCCGACGTCAACTCCGTTGTTGAGGGGCTTCCGGTTATGGGCGGTTATTGGGTGCGGACGACGGGATAGGGCGTCCAGTTAAGGGTCTTCGAGGGTCCCTTATCGCAGTTCTGGGGCGCCCTTCTCTTCACACTGCGATTTCTATGTAGCTGTCACTCCTAGAACCAGAGGTTGAAATGCAAAAACGGAGATTGGTTAAAATGTTTGTGGAGTGAATTGGTGTCTTTCTTTCAACAAAGCAAAAATAAAAAAATTAAAATGAGTTTAGATTTTCTGAGTTATAGCATAGAACAAAGCGAGCTCAATCGAGAGCTTTGTTTTTGAACAAGGATTTGCTTCTGTATTTGGATTACCAATTGTTGAAAAAGGATAAAAACAGAAAAAAGTTTATTCTCGATTTTAAAAGCGCAGCTTATGAATAATTCATGACGAAAACGCATTTATTACATTGTTTTGTTCTTTGACTGCATGTTTTATATTGTAATTGTTGAAAAATTTTAATATCATATAATTAAACTACATATCTTTATTATGTTTGAATGGGATTTAGTTTTACAAATTTTAACTGCCACCAAGTTGTTGTAATTTTATGTAGAGCCTTATGACCTACGATTGTTTGAACTAACAAACAAAATATACGATATATAGGCGATTTATCAAAATGGGGACTCGCATTCTGAACCCAAGAGTGTTGGCGTCTTTCACATTTATAGCTATAATGCCGGCTGTTGTTTGTCGTATGTACTACTAATATATAATTTAATTTTTCAGAGCACGAACTTGTTATTACTCCTGACGTGACCATCTATGATGAGAAACCCTCCAACGATACCGGAAGAATAAAAATATTTCCTAATAAAACAGTGATAGTTGAAGCTATTATGGGCGAAAGTGTGATTTTTATTTGCAATATATTTAATATGATTCCAAACGCTCGAGTAATTTGTTGTGAGATTCTGTGCTATTGGTATAATAGGTGATATGGCGCAGAGTAAGTTTTGATGGCCTTGTCACAGAAACAATCAACGACGGTTTAATGTCGCGTGACATGTCGAGGTGGAAAATTGGTCAAGGGAAACAAACCAATTCTGTAAGGTAAGTGCTATATGGTTCTTTTGTTGAATGTTTAACTAGGCTGGAAATTCTTGTGGTTGATGAAACTTACGCTGGGTATTATACTTGCGATTGCCAATATACTGGCTCTGTAGAACCGGCTAGAGCAGAGCGCATTTTGAGTGTTGTTTGTAGGTGATTACTTTTAAAATCAGACCATGTATGGGCTTTTGTTTTACTTATTACTTTACCATTTTGAAGCTAAAGCAAAGGTACTGCCATTTCATTCTTCCTACACAACAACGGTAACGGAGGGAGATCGAATGACATTGCGCTGTCAAGCTGCTGGAATTCCTCAGCCTGTTGTTTACTGGAGTCGTACAGGTGGTTCAAGCAGCTTGATTCGCAACTATGGGATTAGTAAACCGGTCAGTGGTTAACTTCAAAACTGAATACCCATGTAGCCTGTCAATCATAGTTCATTTTTTTCCAAGACAGGGAGAAACAATTGACTTTTTATCTGTACTGCCAGAGGATGCAGGGGAGTATATGTGCACGGCCGAAAATCGTTTGGGTGTAGACTACTGGCCCGTTAGGGTCGCAGTCCGACGTTAGTGCTTGCTATAACTTCATTTTGGCCCTTTAGATAAGCCCAAGATTAAGATATACGTGACTGCACCCATACCTCAATCGCCATGTAACATTCACCTTTATTGTGAGGTCTTGGCGAACCCAGCTTCAGAGGCGACAGAAATAACTTGGAGTGTTGGTACAGCTTCAACCACGACTACAATTACATCAACTAGCCGGTGAGATAATATTTTTTATTCCATTCATTAACTATACTTGTTGCAAACGATATGAGCTTTACTAAGACTAGTTGGAAATTAGCTTTACTTTCCTTGGCTAAAATGGAGCTAAGAGGGTGTAGGGGCATCTACACACCCGCTGCTATATTTGGCGACTAGATGACCCGTCACGTAGCGGGCAACGTTCGGTAGTTCAATGCTCATCAAGCGTTGGGTATTGGCTTTGGCATTTTATTCAGAAGGCAATGAGCCATGGGGTTACTCTCAAAACTGGTTTTACTTATACGATCCAAAAGGCAGGTAAAATCCGCAATGAACTTAGAAGGGCTAAGACGAAAAATAGTGTATGCCTGTCACTCGAACATTACTTGGCAAATTTAACCACATTTTTCATGCATATCAGTTCCGCCTATTTACATCTTCTGAATCGGTTGAGGCAGGTCCACATCATAGGTATCAAATTGAAAAGCTTTACTAAATTTGCCTTGGAACAGCCACCATGGAAGAGGTCTCTTATCCCTGATCTATAAGTTTTCCTTAAAGATTTTTCTTTTTTAACAACACTTGATCAACCTCGATAAAAATAAGATAATTGCAGCTGATGACTATGAGGGTCTGACTCGAGAAAGTGGACCAATCAGGTGGAGACAACATAAATGCAATCTTTTCGTCTTTAGAAGCCGATTGGTCTATTTGAACGGAGGAAATACTCGATTTTTGGTGGTAGCCTTTAATCCAATCACCGCCGCTGATTTGAACCAAAGGTACACCTGCATTGCCACAAATATCTTGGGCACGGTCACTTCAGACTTCATCTTGAACGGTGAGGGAGGGCAAGTGATAAAAAATAACTTTATGTTTTGCCTGGAACCGAATAAATGTTAGAGCAAATAAGCAAAGCGATAGCTACAATCGTTATCAAAACTTTTGACATTTAAGAATTCCCATATTTTTTTAAATTTAGCATCAGCCTGGATGACCGAAGGAACGTTTGCTGATTTGAAATGTGTCGGAAGCAAACTAAAAGGCAGTCTGGTAATAATATATGCAGTTATTTTACTCATTGTATACGCACTAAAAACGAATGTACTGACATTGTAATGTAGTAAATGTAAAATTTTGCCTATGTTAACAACCGATGTCTGCCGATTGGTGTACGATTCGTCTCATCACCC